CCTCCCCTGGGACGCGGTGGGCCGAGAGGCGTGGGCCCCGCTCCTTCCCTGCCAGCCCATCTCCTCCCCGGTGTGGCTGGCATTGGCACGCCCACAGGGTGAGAGGCAGCCAGGAGACACCGTTTACCCGTGGAGCCCTCGGTCGCTCCCTGCCACGCAGCTCCACGTGACCCCACGTGTCAGCCGTCCCCCGTGCTGACCAGTTTCCGAGACGGGTGTCACCATCCCGTCCGGGCCAGACACTGCCCCCTGGGGCTAGGGCAGCCCCACGGGGAGGGGCTCAGGTGCCAGTCATGGCCCAGCCTGTCCCCTGCATTTATGACTGGCTGTAAATCGGGGTCCCCGTAGGCCCCCCTCCCCCGGCTCTGACGACTTGTGGACTGCGGGCCACATCCACGGCGCTAGGGTTTGCCATGAAGTGCAGATGAAGGGGTGAGGAGCAGCCAGGGATGGCGGGAGGCGAAGCTGAGGGAGCCCCGCAGAGGGACTTCTGCCCACGTAGAGTTGGGGAGCATCAGCCCGCCTGGCGGTGCTTCCACCACACATGCGTGGGCGTGTGGGGCTCATCACGTAGGTCTGGTCAGGGATTGACTCGGGTTCTGCTCCCCGTCTCTGGGCCATTTGGGTGGACTGGATGGCCCTGGCTCCCCATCATGGCTGGTCTGTGACCGCCCCATCCAGGGCCCTGTGGGAGCCACATCACTAGGCCTCGAGATGCTGCTGTCACCTGGAGGTTCTGGGGACTCCAGAGTCCACGTCACACGCTCCCACGCCGGGGAGGTATAACGTAGTCCCGTAACGTTCTGGAATTGGGTCTGGAGCTGTGCCCCCTCGCCTGCCCGCACACCCTCTCCCCGCATGAGCACAGACAGCGCAGGAGAAACAGCAGGACCCTCTGGCAAGACCTTGCCACGCTCCGGGATAAGACACGCACCACAGAGCCAGAGCAGGGACGTGCCGGGGCACACGCAGGCCTCTGAGGGCGGAGAACTGCTGGCGTCTTTGAAGGGAGGCAGGAAGAGAGAGTCTGTGGCGTGAGAAGATGTGTAAGAAGAAACAGATTGACACGACATGGCCCCAGGACAGACCAGCGTTTGCACACGGCCGCGGGGAGCAGCGCTGGGCCTGGGGGAGCCCAACCCCAGAATCCCACAGAACACAGCGACGGGGACATCAGCGGGACGGCGGAGGGCGGTCGGGGCATCCTGCCTCGGCGTCACACGGACGGACATGGAGCACGGAGGGAGGAAGACAGAAGTGGGGACAGTCAGCCAGGCCTGAGGCGGGACCTGTGGGGGAGGCGCTTTGCCACCTCCAGGCCGAATCAGCATGACGTGCTGGGCCATCAGCCACCCTGAGCGGTCAGCAGCTGGCCGTGACCTTTGCTGTCCACCCACAGGCTCTGCTGGGGGTTGGGGCGGTCCAGACGGGGCTCTGGGCCCTCGGCACCTGCAAACCCCAGGCCGACTCAAGGATGTGGCCACGCTGGGGTCCGGGACTGAGCCCCAGAGCCGGGGGACGGCCCTGCCACGGAGGCATGTGCGTCCATCAGCTGGAATTGCAGAGACTTGACCCTAAGCCCAGCAGGAGCAGATCCCGAGCTTGGGTCCCAGCGTGGAAGTAAAAGTCTTCACCGTCGGTGGCAAGGGGGCGGTGTAGCCCGGGACTGAAGCCGGGGCGCTGTCCTTTCACCCCAAACACGGAAACGTCCGTCATTAAGAAGTGAAAATCAAGTGTGCAGAGGCGGGGGTGGGGGGGGGCAGGCAGTGGGGGTGGCGAAGACGTGGAGAAAAATGCAGCCACCTGTGGCCCGCCGGAGCCGAAGCGCCCGAGCCCAGGGCCCCTCGGGGCTGGTTGGGTTTGTTCGGGTCCGGGGGAGAGGCTCGGGGTCTCCCCAGCAGCCGGGCCCCGGGGCAGCCACGAAGCCGGCTCATCTTTGAGACACGTCGGGGGAAATGTTTCTGTTTTTCAAAACTGAGTTGAGATTTTTCTTGGCACCTTTCTTATCTCATTGCTTTACGGTTCCTGCTCGTGCAATGGAAGGAGAGAGACAGCGTGCGCGAGGCCCCGCAGTCCCTGCAGGTGGGAACTCCACAGACGCAGCCATGCCGCCCGGGGGCCCGCGGGCGCCTGTGCAGCCCCCGAGAAAACAGCAGGATGGGGCCTTCTCACTGCCGGCGCCATCGCGGGACGCATGGATTCCCGCCTGCTCCTGGGCGGTGGAGCAGACGTGGGCTCGGTGCTCGCGCAGCATCTGCCTCAGCGTGGGGAGCGGGGAGTCCGCCAGCACCGCACACCAGCACGGCTCGCCGGGGACCACAGTGGCGAAGGCGCCGTCGCGCCGCGCAGTCCGCCCGCGTCTGGACGCTGCTGACACACGCGGGTTCCCCGACACCCACTTTTTTGTCGTGGGCAAAACCGCCTGAACATCAGAGGAAATGAAGTGGACATTGGAGTTGCACGTGGACTTGGGCGTGAGGACGTGTGGATTCCGGGTGCGGCGGGCCCAGTTCCGTTTTGAGTGAACTTGCGGCTTCCCAAGGCCCCCTCGGGGGACTTATTCTCCGGACGGTGGACAGAGTCGGGAAGGGGGACCCGCTGCGCTGAGCTGGGGCCCAGAGTGGAATGTGGATTCAAATCACGGGAAGTTTGCCAAATTGCAGAGCCCCAGGCCCGCCCCCGGCACCCCGCGCACATGCGGGAGCCTCCTGCCGGCGAGGGGCAGCGTTTCAGGGCGCAGACGTGCTTTGAACTTGCTCTTGATTTCGGCCCCAGCCCGCGTGCCGCTCGCCGGGTCCTCTGCGACCTTTATTTAAATACCACCTCCTTTTGGCAACAGCGCTTTTGTCACTTGGGATTAAAAATGATATTTGTACGAAATGGCAAACCGCCTTGACATTTCATCGGGAACCTTTTAATGAATTTCTCTTCGCATCCATAACTAGTCTTCCAAGTAGACCAGAGGGAGGAGCCGCGAGTCAGGAGACCCTAGTCCATGTTGGCTTCTCCCCCGCTTCTCAGCTGTGTGCCCCATCCCGGCCCGGCCCCAGAGCCACCCACCCGTCCCCTGTGGGTGCAGGGAGTTTCCCGAAGGCCTCTGTTTGGATCATATCGGGGTAGGCGTTGTGGCTCCTGGGGGTCTCTATTCAAGCCCCGGAATCTGTGCCTGTGCCCCCTCAAGGCCTGGTCAGGCTACAGACCTTGAGACGGGATGTGCGTGGGTCGCCTCAGCAGGCCTGTCCTGATCGGGAGTCCTTAAACCTTCCAAGCCTTCCCCCGCCACGGTCAGAGGGCGGCGTGACAGTGGAGAGGACAGTGGTGGCTTCAAGGCGGAGGGAGCACGAGCCGGGGGCTGTGCGCAGCCTCCAGACACCAGAAAGGCCGAGCCCGTCCTCCTCCCGCGCTTCTGGGGCGCACGGCGCTGTGGCCTGGGTTCGGGCGGGCAGGCCGAGGGGGGCGTTGGCTCGCCGGCCGAGAGATGACCCTCCTGTGCTGGCTCAGCTGCCCGCTCCGTGGTCAGCCCCTCCGGCAGCAGGAGGCGGGCAAGCGGCCCTGGGAACCCAGGCGCACCGGGCAGCGGTCGGGCTGGGCCTTTCAGCTGGTTCCTCGGGCCGGGCCCTTCGCCCTGGGCCTCGTGTTCTCAGGGCCCAGCTCAGGCTGCTTGAGGCGTCTCCCCACAGCGCCTCTGGGCAGGGTGTGTAGCACCTAGGCAGGCAGACAGACAGACAGACAGACGTGCATGGAGACTGAGCGGGGCCTGCAGCGCGGGGAGGGGCCGTGAGCACGCGGCCTCGGTCAGCCGCCCCCATCAGAGCCTTCGGGTTCCCCTTGAGGTCCCTGGCTGGTTCGGAACCCGCTGACCGCCCGCGCCACGGGCCTGCCCGGCTCAGTGGGGCAGCGGGCGCAGCCGGGGCAGGGCGGGGCGGGGCGGGGCGGGGCGGGGCGGGCGCGCCCAGGCAGCCGCAGCCCCCGTGCAGTCTGGCCTTGCCGGGCGGGAGGCCCCCGCCGCAGGGAGCCCGGGGGGAGATCTCGGGGCTCCCGCCACCGTCCTTCCGGGTCACTAGGCTCGGGGCCATGGCCCGGCCCGCCCCGAGGTGCCGCGGCCGCAGCAGGGCCCGCGGCGGCGGAGGCGGGACGGGGCTCAGCCGCGGCCGCCTGGGGTGGCCGGGCCGGGCCGGGCCGGGCGGGGCCGCGGGGCAGGGGCGCCCGCGCCGGGCCTGACCCGCCCTCCGCCCCGCGGGCCGCCAGCCGCCGGCCGAGGCCTGCCCCCCCCCAGGCCGGGCCAGCCGGGCCGGGTCAGCGGGTCACCCGGGCGTCCGCAGGTCTGCAGCCCCGTCCCGGGACCCGAGCCTCGGCCCGGCCCCGCCCGCCGGCGTCCGCCCCGGGACTGGGCGCTGCGCACGGGCGCGGGGGGCGAGCCCAGCCCGGGGTCCGGCCCTGCGGAGACGGACGGCGGGGGCGAGCGGGCCCGGGGCCGCGGGGGCCGGCGCCGGCCGGGGCGGAGGGGCCGCCGGCCTGGAGGGCGCCGGGGCGGGTCCCCCCCCTCCGGGGCGCGGCGCCTGCGGGTCCCGACGCCCCGCGGCCGGGGGGGGGGGGGGGGGGCGCCCCCGACGCCCCGCGCGGGCCCGAGTGGGCGGGGCGGTCAGGCCGCGCGCTCCGGCCGCCCGGCCTCCCCCGGCGCGGGGCGGGGAGGGGCGCAGACCGCGGCGCGGGGCTCGCGGGGCGCCGGCCGGGCCGCCGTCGGGGTCCCTCGCGAGCCGGCGGGGCTGGGCGGACGCCTGCGCACTCGGGGCGCCCTCCCCGCCGCAGCCGCCAGGGGCGCTGTGGCCCGCTGCTGGCGCGCGGCCCCGCCCCCCTCCGGCCCCGCCCCCATCTCCGGCCCCGCCCCCGCCCCGCCCCGCCCCGCCTTCCCGCGCGGCTCCGCCCCGCCCCGGGGCCCCGCCCGCCCCCGGGGCTCGGCAGCCCCGCCCCAGCCCAGCATGCTCTGCGGCGCCCCCGTCCCGGCGTGCTCCGCGGCCCCGCCGATCCCAGCATGCTCTGCGGGTAAACAGACATGGCCGGCGAAGGGGACCGGCAGGACGCTGCGCACGACATGGGCAACCACCTGCCGCTCCTGCCCGGTAACGGCCCGGGGCCGGGCCGGGCGCGGGAGGGGGCGAGGCCCGAGCTGGGCGCGGCGCGGCGGGGCGGCGCTGGGAGGCGGGCGGGGGCGCCGCGGGCCCGCGGGCCCGCCCCGGCGAGTGACCGCGGCGGGCTCCGCCGGCGGCCGAGCCCGGGGTTCCTGGGGGGCGCCCGGGGCTCCTGGGGGGCGCTCGGGGCTCCTGGGGGGCGCCCGGGGCTCCTGGGGGGCGCTCGGGGCTCCTGGGGGGCGCCCGGGGCTCCTGGGGGGCGCCCGGGGCTCCTGGGGGCGCTCGGGGCGGGGCCGGGCCCTCTCCTGCCTCGCCTTCGCGCGCCCTGAGCTGGGCTGGGAGCGGAAACGCCCCGCAACGGCTGGGGCCGACCCGAAAGAGGAATCCGCTTGGCCGGCGCTGCCAGCTCCCTCCTCCCCCGCGGCTGCGGCCGCGCGCGTCGTGCTTGTTCGGGCCCGGGCGGGCGGGCGCGCGCGCGCTTTGCGGCGTCTCGGTCTGCCCCTCCTCGCGCGCCCGCTCCTGGTCCTCACGCGGTGGTGTAGGGGCGCGAACGCTTGCCCCCGAGTGTCTTCTGACGAGAGGGTGGCCTCATGGAAGGGCCTGGAGTCCTGGTACTCACCTGCAAACGCCTGCGTGTCGGGGCCTCCGTCTGGGAGGCCGAATCGCGTCCCCGCCCCAACCCCGCCCGCCTCGCAGCCCGGCGCGGGGAGCAGTGTCTGACTCCCCCACGCGTGAGGACTGCACGTTTTTAAGTATCTTTCCGCCCCCTCCCATTGGCCTCGTGCTTGTTTGGTTACTCGCCGCCCTGGAAGACCCCAGAGGGATACAGTGATTCCTTCGCTCCCAGCAGTTGTGAGGAAACGGCGAGCTAGTTCAGTGACTTGCCCAAGAGCACAGAGTCGCAGGGCCGGGGCGCCTGCCAAGGCCACTGCTGTAAAGACAGTGTTCAGTATTCTCCCGTGTTCGCGCGTGTGGTAGAAGGTGTGTAACTCAAGACCCTCAGGAGTGGAAGGCCAAGCTCAGTTTTCGTTCTTCTTTATGTAAGTTTTGTGGGAATTTAGACCTTGACCTGATGGGGAAATGCCGAGCAAGGAAAAAAAATTGTGGCGTGACTGTACAACCTTGTCCTGTGCTCCAGACAAAGCAGAGGCTTCCCAAGAGCTGTGTCAGCCAAACGGAGACAGTTAACTGAGTCCTTTCACTGGGCGCTAGGAAATGCCTGAGGGGTGGTGGAAAGGAAGAGGCGTGGGGCACAGCCTCATGCCTGAGGTTTAGAATGTAGACGGGCTGTGAAAGCATCACTGTCAGAACACTTTGAATCGAGGGTCAGGTGAGTGAAGGTGTTATGTTTCATCTGAGGAGGGGCAGTTCAGGGCTCCTAGAGATGGGGAGACGCCTCGGCTCTGGAGCTGGAGCCTCCAGCTCATTTGACTTGGGACAGGGCTGTAGAGGGTAAGGCCTGGGAGGCGGGCTGGAGCTGCGCGGCTGGGAAGCTTTTGTCTCGTGCTTGTAGGACTGAAAAGCGTTTTCTATGTACTGCCAAGAAACAGTTGTGGTCTTCAAGCCTGAGCAACCCCGGGCCTGGAGGGTTGGTTTGTCCACTGGGAGTGGCTGGATTGGAGGAGAGGAGCTGGCGTGTGCTCGCCGTGTGGGAGGGACTTTTCCATATAAAAATGAAGCGGGTTCGGAGGCAGCGGTCCTCCTGCAGCCGACCCAGTTGAGCTGACACAGGTCGGTGTGTCGGCCACAGCTGAGGCGCTGCGCTGCCTGTGGAGGCCACCGCCCGCTCTGCTTCCAGATGCTGGTTCAGGGAGGTGGCGACTGCGGGGGGACGCCACCTGTGCTGTTAGCATCCTCGGGGGCGCCTGCAGGAGACGAGCCGTCAGGTGTCACTCTTGGGCTCTGGACAGTGTGTGTGTTGCTGGAGAATTAGCAGTAAGGGCGCCCAGAAAGGTGGTGGATATGCTAGCGGAGCTTTCCCACATCGTCTGTCAGTTTTATTTGCCAAGAAACACTGGAGAGCTCGGAAACTCTGAGTGGTTGTGCAGGGTGTTCCTCTTCACTTGCTAAGGAAGGAGCGTCACGTTTATGCTGTGAAGACTGTCGTGGGAGCAGAACCTCAGGAGATAAACACAGCCAAGTAGGGGCAGCGACCTGCAGGGCAAGGCTGCTGTGTGCGGGGACATCACGTGGGGCAGGAGGGCAGGAGGGCGAGGTGTGCCTTGTGGGGCGATGGATTCTGGCCTCCGAGGCCATCTCTGAGCCCTGTGCAGTGGGCAGGAGAGCGGGCCGCCGCGTGCCCGGGGAGAGCCCTGCTCGGAGGCGTGTTGGTCCCCATTATTTCCTCACCTGTTCAGGTTTTTCTCTGTTGTGTCTCGGTGAAACGTGCATGTTCTTGGGGGAAATCTGTAGGAAGTGTTAGGTCGCTAACCGTGTGAATTTACATCAAAGCAATTGTTCTCTTTGGCAAAGCCTTGTCTCTAAGAACTCACGACCACTGGTGGACAGTCCAGGGCAGTCGCCCTATTGAAAGTCGTTTGTATTTTTTTCTGGGGCTGCGCCGGGGAGGTTTGCATCAGTAATTACATGCACGGAAGAAAATGGCTGTTTGGCCTTGCTTCCGTCAACGACTCCTCCCTCCCTCCGGCCTTTCACTTTCCTGGTAGAGTTTGAGGGAACCTTAGAAGTCGTCTCACGCGCGCGCGTCGTCCGTGGATGCGGAGACGAAGGTGTGGTCAGGCGGGCCGCGTTGCCTGGGTGTCAGGGCGCGTGATGGGGGGAGAGACGGCTCCTCCGCGCGGGGGAGTTTCGAGTTACTCCTGCAGTGGTTCCCCTCCGAGGAGGCAGAGCGTGGCCGCAAGCAGCCGGTGTGGGGTGCGCCTGCCATTCGCTCCCGAGGAGCATCCTGGGGAGAGGAGGAAGAAAAGGACGCGGGAGGGCAGAGCCCCGGGCGGCGCTGCCTCAGCCAGGAGGTGCCGCTTCCTCCCCAGACGCGGGCCTCGTCTCCTGAGGACTGGAGGGAACAAATCCTGGAGAGGGACGCACACAATGCCCGACCAGCGCGCCTCAAAACCCCGCGCCCCTCGAGACCCAGCCCCCAGGCAGCTGAGGAGACGGGCAGCTCAGTGCGGGGGGCTCCTGGGGTGCCCTGGCCCAGCGGAAGGCGCTAGACGGAAGTGAGGGCAACCGCGCCGGTGTGGCCGCGGCTGCCGTGTGGGCGCAGGCCCCTGAGCCGTGACGGTGGCCGCGGGGCAGGGTGTGGACAGCCAGGGCCGCTCCGCGCCGTCTCTGCAGCTGTTGGGGCGCCCCAGGTCACTGTAGACAGGAAGGGCCAAGCCCCACTCAGACCTCGGCCGGCAGGGCCGGATGGAGCCCCCTGCGGGTGGGGTTGGCGCGTGGCCGTGGGCCCAGAGCCCCCCGGCGCGGGGGGGGGGGCCTTTGAGGGCGCGTGGCCTTGGCATATTCGTGTCTGTTCCCCCTCACGCCTCACGCGCGGTTCTCTCCAGCAGAGAGTGAGGAGGAAGATGACATGGAGGTGGAGGTTGAAGACCACGATAGCAAAGAAGCCAAAAAACCAAGTTTCATCAACTTTGACACCAGCCTGCCGACCTCGCACATGGTACGCGGCCCTGCGTGGCGCGGGGCGGGGGGGGGGGGGGGGGGGGGGGGGGGGGGCGGGCGGAGGGGCTGCGCGGGCGCGGGAGGAGCGGCTCCTCTCCCCGGGCCGCCCTCGACCTCCTCAGCGCCGCCCAGGCGGAGCCGGCCCCCCCGTGGGGCGCGGCGCACGAGGGCCTGGGCTGCTGGATCTCGGCCGTGGCCCTCCCGGTGCTTGTGCCGTGGCGGGGCCGCCTGGCGCTGCTGGGGTCGTCTCCACGCCTCCCTTGTCCTTTGTGGCTGCGGGCCTGGCCGTGCTTATTGTTGTCAGAATAACTGGAACCCGAAAGATGCTCTAAGATTTGTACGTGGGAGGCGTCTTAAAAGTAGACATTCTGAGCGAACGTCAGGTTTTTACGTAATAAGACGCCGACACGCCGAGTCTGTGCTGACGCGTTAGCGCCCGGTGTCGCTTCTCTGCCCGGGGGCACCTGTGCGCCGTGCCCGCCCCCGTGACCGTCCCGTGTGCCCCCAGTACCTGGGCCCCGACATGGAGGAGTTCCACGGCCGGACCCTGCACGACGACGACAGCTGCCCGGTGATCCCGGTGCTGCCGCAGGTCACGCTGATCCTGATCCCGGGCCAGACCCTGCCGCTGCAGCTGTCGCGCCCGCAGGAGGTCAGCATGGTGCGCAACCTGCTCCAGCGCGACCGCACCTTCGCCGTCCTCGCGTACAGGTGAGGCGGCCGCCGGCCTTCGCGCAGCCCCGCGCGCCGTGAGGCCACCGCGGAGGGTGCGTCTGCCCGCGGCAGAGCGTGGACAGGGCGGGGGGTGTGCGTGCAAGCTGGGGTGTGTCAGCTGAGTCAGAGCCGACCTCACCCACGGTTGAACTTTCTGTGCCTGGAACGTGCTTCTTGCTGCGGTTCAGGGAGGACGCTTCTGGTTCTTATCCTCACGTGCAGAGTGAAAGGGGGTTTTGTATGTTAGAGCCGCTTCCACAGAATGGCGGGTGCTCGTGCTCTTCCGCCGTGGTCAGCGATCCCACGGCAGCCAGGGGTGACCTGGCGCTGAGCAGCACCCGCCTCTGGCAGCGGGAGGAAACCAGTGGAGGCAGGAGGTGTGTCGGGAAGTTCCCTCCCGGCCCCGCCCGTGCCCGGGGGAGTGACGTGTGCTGGGAGACATGGGCGCAGAGACCCCGGCGCCCGGGCCTGCCCTGCCGTGCTCACGTAGGACTCCCAAGGCCTCTGGGCCAGTCCTCGCGCCTCTGACTTCAGAGTACACGTCACGCCCGCTTTGCAGGAAGGTCCACGGCCAGGAGTTGTTTCCTGGCACGTGACTCACTTTGCGTATTTAAAACCTCAGTGCTCAAAGCTGTTTCCTTTCGCCCTTGCCTTGAAAGCAACGCGCAGGAGAGGGAAGCGCATTTTGGAACCACGGCCGAGATCTACGCCTACCGGGAAGAGCAGGACTTCGGGATCGAGGTTGTGAAAGTGAAAGCCGTTGGCAGACAGAGGTTCAAGGTCCTCGAGCTAAGGACGCAGTCAGACGGGTAAGCGCCCGGGCCTCCTGAGGCAGGGGGACGTCTTGCTTCTGTTTCCTCTCTCCTGCCCCTTCCCGTTCCGTGGCCTTGCCGGCTCGCTCTCCCCGTGAATGGCTGTGGCTTCCCGCTGCTCTGTGCGTAGAGCCGCCGGAGACTCCAGAGTGTGGACGCTCGAGCCCCGCCTCCCTCCATCCTTGGAGTCCCGCCTGCCCGGGGCGAGGCCACCTTCCGTTTCACGACGCCCAGCGCGCCCGCGTGTCGGGAACAGCAGTGTAAGCCGCGGGAAGAGCGGCGGCCGGCGGCTGCGCTGGCCGTGGTGGCCGCACTGCCCCGTGCCAGCTCAGTCGGTGACCGCTTCTATTCAGCGCCCATCTCCAGGGCAGGTTTTATACGTGCCACGGATGTACCGCCCCCGTGAAAATACCCCCTGGGCGTCTGGTGCGGCTTAGAGAGTGCGGGAGCGCGTGGCGGGCCCCTCGTGGCTAGGGCGCCTTTGCGAGGGAAGGGACGCTGACCTCGTCTTTTGAAAGTCCAGTTCACCTTTGTGCCTTCCCGACCCACGGCACGGCATTCTCCCTGCGGCTCGCGCGTGGCCGCCGACAGGATGGGCCTCAGCTCTGGCGCTGAGTCCCCTGGGAAGCGCGAGGAGGAGAGAGATTCTGGGTCCCACCCAGTCCTAGCGAAGCGTCCCGATACAGTGCCAGAGTTGAAAGCCGGTCTCGGCACGGCAGGGCCTCCCTCCCGAACACCTGGAGACTCGGAGGGTTGAGAGTCGAGAGAGACGGCAGCCGACACGAGGGCGCCGAGGCGCGCGGGCTCTCGTGAGCGGGGCGGAGTTATGGAGACATGGAGGGTGCGGACCCCGGGGGGCTGGAGCCTCGGGGCTTAGTCTCCCCTGCCCCCAGCACTCCTCTCGGGACGACCCCAGGCAGCCCGGCTGACCGGGAGCGGCTTCGCGGCGGCACAGGCTGGCATGTCCGCCCTTTGCGGATCCACTGCTGGAGGGCGGCCCTGGTGCCGAGGGCCTCCCCGCCCGCTTCGTGGTGACAGCCTTGCTAGCCTCGTGCTTGGAGCAGCCTGCGTGGTTGTGACTCCGGTGTTCCCGAGACTGGCGGGACGCTGGCTCGGGGAGGCAGACACTTCTGAGACTGCGCTGACCGCAGCGAGCTGACAGCGGGACGCGACTGTGCGCGCGAGGGCAGGTCAGGCCTGGCCGTTTGAGGGGTGAAGGTGCGCGGGGCGCACGGCCCGGAACGGGCAGGTCCTGCATCACAGGCCGCGGCGGGGCCGCATGCTGGGGAGAGGGGTGGTGCGCCGGGGGAGGGTCCCGTGCCGTCTCCCCTCTGTGCGCGTGCGGAAACCAAGGAGCGGGTGGACTGGCCTGCGTCGTGCAGCTGGGGAGCCGGACCCGGTTGGTTCTCGGTCCCCTGACTTCCAGCCTGGCGCCCGCTCCACTGGGCCGGCTCTGCTCCCCGGGCGTGAGGCCGGGCGGACAGCCTTTGGCGTTGACACGAGCGACCCCTGCATGCGAGGCGCTGCCACCCTCTCTCGTTCTGGTCTGTTTTGGCCCCTTCTCAGCACGTGGCATTTTTTCCTTGGAAAAAAACAGTGGAAAATAGAAGCGTGTCGCTGAGTCGTGGGCTTCTGCAGAGACTCCCGGGCCTGTGGCGGGGAGGAAGTGAGTGGCCTGCTGGGAGTAGAGGCCTCTCGCCAACTGGGAGGGAGACGCGTGCTTCCTCAGCGCAGGGAAGCTGGGAGTCACGACGAGCCGCACACGTGTGCTTGAAACGTTCCAGCGTGAGGTGCGAGTGTGCGTTCACGGCTCCCCTGTGGAGCGAGGGACGCCTGAGCAGGCTGCGGGCTGCAAGAGGCACCGCTGCCGCCGTGCGTGGCCCGTCTGCATTGCACACTTTTGCTCTTTAGGGAGATGCTCAAGACGGTCACAGGGACCTACGTGCCACGCACGTGCAGGTTTGTGCATTTTCTTCCTGCTACTGGGATTGTCCAAGCCTCGCTAGACTTTCCCGGCGCCACCTGACATAGTTCACGGTCGTGCTCCAGCGTCGTCGCTGCTTGTGTCGCTACTGTGGCCGCGTGAGCGCGTGGGAGACAGCCCGCGGCAGTCCGACGTGCTGTGCAGCGCACCCTGCACCCTCCGGGGGACCAGATAGGAAGGGGGTTGTCCAGTGCACCACATAGAACCTTCAGGACCAGCGGGTAAAGCATCGATCGCGAAAGCTAGAAAACGTGACACCTGAGGGGCCGGCTGGCCCCCGGGCGGGCTGGCGGCGAGGTGCAGGCGCATGGGGGTTGGGCCTGGGCACCGGCGTGCGGAGTGCGGGCGCCGCCTTCCTGGGGCGTCTGCGCAGGGGAGAGGTTCGTGGTTCTGGTGTTCCCAGGTAACGGTCGGGAGCCAGCGACTGTACGATCACGAGCGTTGAAATAATTTTAAGTAAAGACGCCTGTCTTCATTCTCGGCACCCCCTCTGTGAACGCTTGAGGACAAGGGCCCGTGCGGGGGTCAGGCCCCCTGTGGTTCCCGCCTCTCCCGCGCCCTTCCTCGGCCTCCCCCGCCCGGGCGTCTGCAGGGCGCTGGGCCTCGGGTCAGGGGTGGGCGGGGCGGGGTCTCAGAGCGGCCCAGACGCGCGTCCGGGAGCCGGGTCGTGGCGGGCTGCGTCGGTCTCTCCTTCCCGCGCATGCGCCGGAGGTGTGACCATCTCCCTTTCCCTTGCCCGGCGACATCCGGCATCCACGCTTCGGGCTCCGGGCTCTCCCCGGGTTGACGTTTGGTGCGGTGTCCGCGACGCAGCGGTGTCGGAACGCTGATTTTGATGCGGGTGTTGTTAAGAGTTTGGAAATCTTGGGATTCGCAGCCGCCCTCGATGGTAAGAAACCGTCGCGTTTGCCCCCTCGAGAGTGAACACCGTGCTTGGTTCTCGTCATTCCAGAATCCAGCAAGCTAAAGTGCAGATTCTTCCCGAATGCGTGTTGCCTTCAACCATGTCTGCGGTCCAGCTGGAGTCGCTCAACAGGTGCCAGGTCGTCCCGTCCAAGCCCGTCTCGCGGGAAGACCCGCACGCCTGCAAGTGGTGGCAGAAGTACCAGAAGGTGAGAACCCGCGCCGGGTGCGGCTTCCCAGCGGGGGGGCCGGGCCTGGCTCCCTTTTCTTAAGAAAGAAACTCTGCTCTCCCGCCCCAGGCCCCCGACCCCTCCGTGCGCGGGCAGCCCTCCCGCTGCCTTCCGGGCGCGGGCGGCCGTGCTGTCAAAGCATCCGCGGAGCCGGGCGCTGGCGCCGGGCAGGGGGTTTCCTGGGCGCCCTCAGTGTCGTGGGCCGCGGCTGCGAGCTTTCCTCTGCGGAGGCTGCGTGCTGACTGGGCGGGCCGGGCGTCTGGCTCTTGGTCACGAACACGGTGACCGAGCGGCCCAGGGCAGGCGCACGGCGTTCCTCCGCCGGGTTCCTCGCGCACAGCGTCACTGACTGTCCAACAGTGGCTTGCGGCCAGGCGCTCCCGCAGAAAGTGCTGGCGCTGAGCCCCCAGACCCCCCGGGGGAGCCTCGGATGCCAGGCTTGTGGAGCCCGTTCTTCGTGCTGGACACTCGGTTAACTCGCGCTCTCCCTGAGCTTCCCGGAGCCAGCCTGACCCCTCCCGTGAGCCGTTCCTGATCCTTGGGGGAGCGGCACGCCCGCGAGGGGCAGCTCTCCACGGCCCGTGTGGACTGGGGAGCCGCGGCGGGGCGCGTCCGGGGGCGGAGCGTGGCGGTCTCCCACCTTGGGCTCCAGACGTGCCTGCGGCTGGGGAGGGAGGGGGCCGGCTCAGCCCCACATGCCAGCGCCCGCTGCCCTGCGGCCGTCCGGGAGCATGGGGGGGTTCTCCTCTCAGCGGGTGCGCGGGGTGCAGCTGGCTTTTGTGTTGGGGCCCGGCGAGGCTCTTCTGCGCGCCCCTCAGCCTCCTGCCGCCGGATTCCTGTCCCCTCCCGCGTCCCTCTCAGCCTGCGGGAAGGCCGGCGGTGTCGCGCTGGAGGGGCCGTCTCGTTTGAGCCGGTGTGGCTGTGAGGCTGCTGTGGGTGCCCTGTGCCCTGCCCAGGCCCGCGCCCTCCCGAGGCCTCCCCCTTCCCGCAGCTGCGGTGAGCGGCGCCCGACCGCGGCCCCGGCAGTGACGGCGCCGCCCCTCGGGGTCCTGCGGGCGCGGCTCCTCCCGGCCCACTTGCCGGGCGCGCGTTGGTTGGAACACGGGAAGCTTCGGTTACTCCAAAGCCCGGACGCCGTCACCGCGCGCGGCAGAGGCTGTGCGCACAGGGAGCCCGGGTTCCAGCTCCAGGGCCTCCGAGCAGACGGGGAGGTTTGCAGAAAAGCAGATGACGTGGTTGTCCTGGACACTCGACATTCCGCTTCCTTCAGATGGTCTTTGTACTCAGCTCTTTCCCTGTGGGCGCGCGGCTGGGGAGCAACAGCCACTCCATGTGCGCACCCGGTGAGGGTGTGCCGGGGCAAAAGGAGAGACCTCCCGGCGGCAGCAGGGCGCCGGTGCCCAGCCCGCGGAGGACCGTGTCCTGCCAGGCTTCCTGTGGCCCGGCGGGCCCGACTAGATCCGGCACTGGGCGGTCGGGAAGTTTCGCGCTGTTTTTTGTGTTCCCCGACGACCCTGGGACCGGACCCCGCTCTGGGGGGCGGCCTGCCGCGTGTCTGTGGAACACTTCCGTGCCCCAACCCCGCCCGTTCCCACGCCCGCCTGGCCTCAGCTCCTCGGCGCCGGGGCAGGGTTCCCGCGGGCACCTAGCCGTGACCCGGGACTGCCGGGCAGCGCCCCGAGCGTGTGCGCAAGAACCTCTCTCTGCGGTTAGGAGCTCCTTCCCGAGCTGCGCGTAGTAGGGATGTCGCTTTCCCCGCCGGAGGGGCCGTCTGCTCGGGGCTCACCCGTCTCTCCTTTCCCAGAGGAAGTTCCACTGCGCCACCCTGACCTCCTGGCCGCGCTGGCTCTACTCCCTGTACGACGCGGTAAGTGACCGCCTGGCACCTCCCGCCGCAGGCGCCCAGGGAGGGCCGCGGGGGCCCCACGGCTCCTGCTCGGGTTTGCTTTTGAGAGCTGACGCCGCGTTCCATTGAAGTAGAGCAGGGCTGGCAACGCCCCCGCAGCCCCGCCTCTCTGGCGTGGCGTCAGCACGCGCTGGCGTGGGGTCAGGGACTCGCGGTTAGAAAGTCCAGGCGGCTTCTGTGCCGTGGCGGCTGCTCTGCACACGCGTGCGCCTCTCCTGGGCCTGTTCGCGTGCCGAGGCGCCAGGCACTGTGCGTCCTGCACAAACCCTACCACCCCCCACCCCCCCCCCACCCCCCCGCCAAGATGGCCGCGGCAGGGTCTGTGTAGATGTGGGACGCCCCGGCTGTCCAAAGCTTGGCCTGTCATTTGGGGGCAAACCAGATCGCCCGCATAGCGGGCACAGGGGCAGCCTCTGCCCCGGGCGGGCAGTGGCCAGCAGAAGCAAGTCATCTGCCTCCGTCACCTTCCCACACATGCAGGGGCCTGGGAGAGGCAAAGGGATGGGGGCACCAGGCTCAGCCTGATGGGAACCCACACGCCCCTGGGCCCGGCAGCGTCTGAGCCAGGGCGTGCTCAGTGGACGGGGGGTTTTGCGCACACTGTGAAGAGACGTGCTGGGTGACGTACGAAAGCGTGAGGCGGCTTCCAGGAGCTGTGGCAGCAGAGCCTTCCTGGGAGGGGGAGGCCGAGAGGATAAACCTGGGCCCAGGAGAGCCAGGCTGGGCACCACGGTGCCACCCGGTGCTGGGGAGCCCTGGGCCGTTACCGCTGGAGGCAGGCGGGGGCAAAGCAAGCTGCACTTGGGTGTTCACAGTGTTAAAAGTGAGAGTAACTGAAAAATGTCTGCGCTTTATCATGGCTGCTTGTGCTTTCAACCAGGAGACTTTAATGGACAGAATCAAGAAACAGCTGCGTGAGTGGGATGAAAATCTGAAAGACGATTCTCTTCCTTCAAACCCAGTAGGTACGAAAACTCTGTTTCCTTCCCGTGGTCTGCGGCGTGGCACTAAGAGGGTTGCTTTGTTTTCTGTGTAATGGAACCGGACGTTTCATGCTCTGAACTAATGGTTCTGAAAGCTTTGACTTTTAGGATTTAAAAAAAAAACAAGAACGGTATGTAATTGTAAAATATTCCAATTTTATTTATTTTCTTTAAGATTTATTTATGCATACAAGAACTGGGGTACATGCCAGAGGTGTGAGGGTGAGAGGACTCCCCAGAGACAGAGTGGGGAGCAGAACAGGTGGATCCACTGAAAGCCACTGCTGAGGGGAGCAGTGGAGAGACAGGAGAGGTCTGCTGCGCCCTGTGGGTTGCTCCCTGGCCAGCTGGGGATCGAACCGGTGCTGTAGAGGCTGCGGGCTGCCTCATAAGTTGCATCTTAATCCCTTGCACCACCAGGGAGGCCCAAAATATTCCACTTTTAAATAAGGTTTTACGAGAAGTTCCAATTGTAACGCAAGGCTGTCCGGCAAACAGTAAGTGCAGACTTTTTCCCTGTTAAGCTACCTTTAAAAGTGACCCCCAATTGCAGCCCTTATTTCCTTCCTTAACCAAACTCCCAGCTTAGCAGGTAGAGTTTAGCAGCTTTCAGACTCAGCACAGGGCGGGACTGTTCCCGCGTGGGGTCACGGCACGTTTAGGTTAAGAGGCGCCTCCACAAATCACGCACAGAAGCCACAGGGTAGCAGGGCGTGCCCTGCCGGCCGGGTCTGAGTGTTGGCCCTGGCGTGGGGCGCGTTCTCGGGGCCGGGGAGGATGCATTACCTGGCTCTTAAGTCCCAAACCCGCCATGTCTTTAAGATTTTTCTTACAGAGTAGCTGCTTTTCTTCCTATCGATGACGTGCTAAGGATTCAGCTGCTGAAAATCGGAAGCGCCATCCAGCGGCTGCGCTGTGAGCTGGACATCATGAACAAGGTGAGGGACGACACGCCCGGGCTGGGGTGCGGGCACGCTCTGCGGAGCAGGCTCCCGGCTCCGTCGCTGGATAGGAACCGCTTGTGTCTGCAGGTCATGCGAAAAAGACCTAAAAATCTCGTTGGGGGTCACACAGGCGGTGTGTTGCTTTGCACCCCTCAGCTGAGTGCTCGTGTCCACTGAGCCGTGTCAGACTCAGTAGAGACCCTCGAGCACCTACACGGGGTCACCGTGGCCGGCTGACGGGTTGGGAAGAAAGCACGCAGAGTGATGCCTGAGGGAGGCGTGATGCGTCATTACGGATGCCTGTACATCTTGCCACTAATGTCCTTGCTTTTTTCTAGTGCACGTCCCTCTGCTGTAAGCGATGTCAAGAAACAGAAATCACCACCAAAAATGAGATCTTCAGGTGAGCCCTTTCGGTCAGTGCGCTCCTGCGCCTCCCGTCCCGCCGCGGCCGGGGTTGGCTGCCCTCACCCTCCCACCCTCCGCTGAGGTGTAAGCACTTGGCAAATGCCTGGGGGGTGGGGGTGGGGGGGTGGGCGGAGTTCGGGTAGGGCGGGCCTGCAGCGTGAGCTCGGGGAGGAGCCCGCGAGGAGTGACATGACTGGGCGCCCTTCCTTCCCCAACCTGGTTGGCAACCAGTGTGGAGGACGCTGGCCCGGGCCTGGCCGTCCCACAGAAGGAGGGGTGTTGAGGAGAGAGTCCCTACAGCAGTACAGCAGGGAGGCAGCCCCGGGGCATTGCTGAGGGGACCTTCCCGGTGCACCCCCCGCCCCAGGTGGGGCTCGGCCTGTCCTGGGTGTGAGGCTGCGTAGAGTCCTGCTGTTTCCCTCCTGGAGAAGTATTTACACTGGGAAATGACTCCCGCCAGCCTGGGTCTCCTGGGCCTGCGGTTAGAGCAGGGGCCAGGCCTCATCCTCCGTTTCTGTTCCAGTTTATCCCTGTGTGGGCCGATGGCCGCGTACGTGAACCCGCACGGGTACGTGCACGAGACGCTCACCGTGTACAAGGCCTGCAACCTGAACCTGATGGGCAGGCCATCCACGGAGCACAGCTGGTTTCCTGGGTAAGGCGGGGCTGGCTGAGTGTCGCCTCACTAAGCGTGAGCAGGAGTGAAACCAATGCCCGGGGACCCCGTAAACCGCGCCTGGCCGCAGGCTATACTCAAGCTGGAGCGCGTCTCCCCGGTGGCCTTTGGAGCACGCGGGGCTTCCTCGGTGCTGGGAGCTTTGAGCGGCGCTGTTTCACAAGCAGCTCGCGGAGGAGGGGCAGAGAGGCAGGTCTGCCCCGTCCCGTCACTTGCCTTTCCAGGCCTGCCTGCCTTACAGGAGGGTGGGCCGGGGTGGGCCAGGGTGGGCCGGGGTGGGCCGGGCCACAGACGCGCTTCCTTACCTGCCGCCTCCTCGCCTCGCAGGTACGCGTGGACCGTGGCCCAGTGCCGGAGCTGTGCAAACCACATTGGATGGAAATTTACAGCCACCAAAAAGGACATGTCGCCTCAAAAATTTTGGGGGTTGACGCGATCAGCTCTGTTACCCACAATCCCAGGCGAAGATGAGCAAGATGAACTGTGCCCGGACAAAGTCATCCTTTGCTTGTAAACGGGTAGGGCGAAGGCACTGAAAGTCGGGGCTCTGCCATCAGCCCCGCGTCGGGGGAGGGGGGGGGCCTGCTTCGGCGCGTCGGGAACTCTGAGGGCAGCAGCGCACGGCGCTTCCGCTTTCTCGGTTAAGCTAAGCTAGCAAAGAGGACACGGGCCAGACTGGCTTCCTGCAGACACCCGACGGCCCAGGCGGCTCCCTGGCACCTGCGCCAGCCCTTGGGAGCCGGGGGCCGTGGGGGGACCAGCGTCCTTCCCCGGGGGCGGGCGGCTGTCTCACGAGGGCTCCGCGCCCTGGCTTCTCAGACGCTGAGCTGTACATTTTGAAACTCTCTTATTAGCCCTTTCATGTTCTCGTGTGTGTGGGTGACGTGTGCGCTCCGCGTCTGGCTGCCGAGAGCCACGGGGCGCTGTGGGCCGCGTCTGTACAGAGGGCGTGTCAGCTGTCACGCGAAGTAAAGTGAGAATGTTCTCGTGTAAATGATGTAAACTACCTACTCACACTGCAGATAACTTAGCCTAAGGAGTCATTTTAAAGTACAGATTTGCCACCTACCTCTTTGCTTACACGTTCAAAGGTTTCTGGAGCCCGTCACATTTGTGTAATTAAATTAACTGAACTAATTTCTCCTTTTGAATTCATTCACTGACCTCTTGCGCCAAACGCGATGGTTCTGCCTGCCCGCGTGTGTCAACAGTAGCCAGAGCAGCCCGGGTGCCGGCCTTGGCGGGAGCCTGTGACCCAGGCCCCGGGCGCAGCTGCTGGTCCTGCCTGCACGCAGGCTCCACGCTACCTGCGAGGAGGTCATTCTGCGGGGGCTGGAGTAACAGAAAGCGCCACAGAAGAGAACCTGTACTCACAGCTCACAGGCTCTTGCAGCCAAGGACACCCTCGCTCTGAGCAGGCCCTTCCCGGGGCGCAGGGGCAGGGAAGGGCGGGCACGCTGGCTGCGCCGTGTCCGCTGTGCTCATCCCTGAAGAACACGCACCTCACGCTGCAGGACTGTTCCGCACAGATAAAGGATTTAATCACTGACCTGGGGGGTCACGTCTGAGGCCCCCGCCGCACAGCAAAGCCGGTTACAGTGGCCGCCCGCTTGCTCTTTGAGGGGCTGCGACAGAAACGCGCTTTTCAAAATTCTGGTCCGAGTCCACAGTAGCTACTGGCCCAGAGTCCGGGGTGCTGGGGCTGGCAGGAAGGAGACGTGGCTGTGAAAGCTGTAAGTGAGCACTTTTGTGTGTGTACCTGCGCCTGCTGGAAAGCACTGGGCCCTGAGCTTTAAAGGGCAGACGTGCCTTCACGGCAGTTTCACGGGGCCGCCTCTTAGTGGGACAGAAGCAGCAGCGTTTACTGGCGAGGGACCAGGTCGGCGTGGCGAGACACAGCCCTCGGCCGGCCCGCCAGACAGCGCAGACGCGCACCCCGCCGGGCTCAGCAGAGCAGGGAGGGGGGCGCACCACGCCCTGCCTGGCACGCACCTGGTCTGCGTGTTTTGCGCGGGGGGGTCTGATGCAAATCTGCTACCTTTTTAAGACAAATTCATTAGAGCCCGATGGGCCCCGGCCCTCCCAGACGCTTGCAGAAGATGACCCGGGTGCTTCAGCTGCAAGAGGGTTTTTACGTCACCACCTCCCCAGCTTGGCACGGCCCCGCACACAGCCAGCCGGGACGCGCTCACCTCGCAGGCGCGGTGGAGCCACAGGCTACACCAAGGTGGGCGTCCGCTTGGTGCCGCGACAGAACTACGCTGAGTTTTACTCTGTGCGCTGGCGCCGCCTCACGCTGGCTAACGGGGGGCGGGGCGGGGCGGGGCGGGGCGGGGCGGGGCGGGGCGTGGCGTCTTACCGGGAAAGGCTCCGCAGCACGTCCCCCTCAGGGCTTCTTGATGTGGCTGAGCAGCTCCTCTTTCTCCATCTGGTAACCGCTTTTTTTCCACTGGTCCCGCAACTGCTGCAGGAGAGCCCCGATTTCCTTGCCCGAAGAAATGCCCGCCTTCCTGATGTCGTGGCCGCTCACGGGGAACGGGGGGACGGACCAGCGCTGCATGTCCCTCAGCAGCCCGTGCTCGCCCTGGTACTTCAGGAGCTCGCACACGCGGGCGGGCGCGTCGGCCTCCCTGGACTGGGCGCAAGCACAGGTGTCCCGTGAGAACGCGCGAGCCCGCCCTACTGTGCGGACACAGGTGCCCCTTTTACGGTACGTCACAGCCACGCCGGGGGCCGCGGCGACCACACGTGGTCCCTCAAGCCGCGACGGAGACCAGCAGCTACTCACGTCTATGATGAAGTCCTGATAGGGTTTCAGCGGCTCCGGGCTGTCGGGCGCTTTCACCAGGTCGCGCCGGTGCTTCACCAGGAACAGGCCGAGGTTCTTCTCCTCCTTTGAAATCTTCAGCCTCAAATCCAGCTTCGTGACATCATCCTGCACGCTGAGCAGCGCGGCCAAGAGAGTCATTGGCTTCGGTGAAAGACCTTCAGCATTTTTACTGACTCTCTCAAATTCTTCCAGACTTGCGCCGGCGGGCAGGCCTGCGGGGGGCGGGGGGGGGCTCAGCCTCACAAACACGCCCGTGCCCGCAGCCGCCGCGCTAGCCAGAGCCCTGCGCTGGGGGCGAGCCAGGGGCAAGCCGCTCTTTCCAGAGCGCCCCCAGCACACTGGGGTCCCGCCAGGCCAGGGCGGCGGTGCTGTGCGCTGCACGGAGGGTCCTTACCCCACTGGCAGTGCCCACGGAGCACCCACCTTCCCCTCCAGGGCTGCTTTCCTGACAGAACCCGAGCTCCCGAGCTGGGACAGGCCCCCGAAGCCCAGTGTCTCTCCAGGCCCACGGTACCCCTGGATGAGCGAAACCCGCTGCGGGGGGGCTCGCTCGCTGCTTCTCGGCCCTTCCACGAGAGCCTCTTCTTTTCACGCCCCTTTCCTGATTCACAAACTGGCAGTGGAGGCGGCCCCCACAGCGCAGCGCCGCGGCCCCGGGCACAGGCTGTGCTGCCTGCGCTGCCCCCGCCCGGGACACAACGCGCCGCCCGCGCTCCCTCCCTTGGCAGCCCGAGGCAGCTGCTTCGCCGCGGTGGTACAGACGCGCGGCGCTCACCTATGTGAGGAGCCACGCCGAGGTCGTAGATGAGGCGGATCAAATGACTGACGTGGTTACCCACGAGAATCTTCTTCAGCTCCACCCAGATCCTCTCTCCGGATATTCCCGCCAAGCCTTTCGCATTCTCTGCAATTGCCTCCAGCGTCTCGGGGTCGTGGTCGCCAGGTCTGTCGACGATTCTCCCATAAAACCTAGAAAAGAAAACGCTCAGATTCTGCGCCGCTGGCCCATCCCCAGGAACACGTTTCCCGCCCTCTGGTGCCCGCGTTGTCGTCGGAAGCCACGCGGCGCTGGTTGGGGCGGGGGGAAGGGCCGTCCGGTTGAGCCCCCCCTTCCCCCAAGCTCTCGGCTGCCACGGGGCGGCAAGGACTGCGCCCCTGGTCACGGTCACCTCCCGGGCGCGGGCTCCGAGGGCCGGCCAGAGCCGCCCGAGCTGGTTCTGGGTGTGGGTAAGGCAGGCGGCATCCCTTGGGTGCCAGGATGGACCCACATCCCTCAAGGAGGGGCTCCGCCTCTGGGGTCAGCGCCCAGGATGGGGGCGTCTTTCGGGGACGCTCAGCTGCGAGCGCCTTACTGTCTCCTTGTGCTTTTGCGTTTCCAGGTACTTCCTTAGTGGTCTGAGGCCGCGAACAGCTGGGTGGGGCTGGCTGGGTCGCACTTCTGGTGCTCCGGGCCGCACACTCAGGTTTGCACGGACAGGCGTGGGGGGGCCGGTGCACGCGACTCGGCGCGCTCCCAGCCCGGGGCAGTGCAGTGCCAGATGCCAACTAGGCCGTCGGTCGCGTCCCTGAAAGGCTCGCGCTCAGCATTTGCTAAGCCAGTACATGTCTGCATCTGTTTGCCAGTCCCGGGAGCGCTGCCCACCGGACTGGCGCGGCTGCAGGCAGACCCAGCCGCCCCCTCGAGCCTGCTGTCTGCCGCAGAGCCCGGCGGGCCGCTGGAAGGCGACAGGAAGCCCGTCATGGGAGTGCCCGCCAGGGAGGGGCAGCTGCGCCCCTAGGGGCGGGAGCGGGCGCCCCGTTCCTGCCCTGGCCTGCCGTGCGTGAGAGGCTGAAGCTCAACCCCAGAGAGCAGACAGAGCCTCACCTGAAGTACCGCAGGATGCGGAGATAATCCTCCTCTATCCTCTGTCTGGCGCGCCCGACGAACCTGACCTTCTTGTTCCTCAGGTCCTCGTGGCCGTTGAAGTAGTCGTACAAGGTGCCGTCGAAGCCTGGTTGTCGGGGGGAGAAGGAGCGTCACTGCCGGCAGCACGAGGACTGGGAGGCAAGAAGAGCTTTCACAAGGGGTTAAGGATGCAGGGAGCGGGGAGGTAAAGCCAGACGCGAACAGCGCAGCGGCGCCCCACAGCTGCCACCAGAGCGCGCCAGGCCCAGAGCGGCCTGATGGATGCGCGGCGGGCACCCTGCGGGACGGGGAGCTGAGGCCGCGGCCCCCCGGGGGAGGAACTCGCAGTCAGGCAGTCACAGTCCTTTGTGACTGTGGTTACCAAGAGAACAAAGCCACGACACCGGAGCCTTCAAAGAAATAACCAGCGAACTCTAAGGCATGAGAGGCCAGTCTGCAGGGCCGGGCCGGCGCATCCAGAGCTACAGAATGCGCTTGTGGAGAAGCAAAAACCCTGCGCCCCCGAAGAGCGAGCGCAGAGCAGTGTGGACCGAGACCCTGTGCCGGAAACCAAGATTTTCAACCTTGGTCTTGCAAGCAGTTAAGACGCAACCTGTGAAGCTGTCCGCAGCCTCTGCAGCACGAGTTCCATCCCCAGCCGGCCAGGGAGCAACCCCCATGGCACGGCAGACCTCTCCTGCTGCTCCACTGCTCCCTTCAGCAGTGGATTTCAGTGGATCCGCCTGTTCTGCTCCCCTCTCTGTCTCTGGTGAGTCCTCTCACCCCGCTACACACACACCTCTGGCCTGTACCCCAGCTCTTGTATGCATAAATCAATCTTTTAAAAAAAGAAAAACGCAACCTTGCAACGCTGCGCTTTTTGGGGTTCCCTCTGGCTGCGCAGCGCCTAACCGGAGACGCTGTGGGACATGCCCATCGGGACCCTCCCTGTGCACCCCTCCCCACTCTGGATTTTGAACACGTGATCCGGAGAACCACTCAAAACACACGCAGACCAAGTTGCGTCCAGCAAGCGTTCTGGGAAGAGCAGCGACAATGTCAGCCACGGCACAGAAACCCGGTGCGGCTTTGCGCGCCCACCTGGCCTGAGGGCGGAAAGCACTGCCTGGTGACAGGAGGGCAGACACCCCAGCAAAGCCCCAGGGCATCCCACCCGCCCCCGGCAGTCCTGGTGAGGAGCCCAACCCCGCCCCGGCAGAGGGAGCCCGGGGCCAGAGGAGAACGGGCTCTGGCTGCCTGGATGTCAAATCTCAGAGGCTCCGGAAAGACGTCGCAGCACGTGGAAAGGGAAACAAACGCTACAAGTCAGCACAGATCAGGCGCGCTCCCGGCGCCGAGGTCTGTCCCGGGGAGGGCACATCCACTCTGGAGGGAAAAAGCCGCCGGGGCGGCCGAGGCCTGAGCGCTGGCAGGCGCGGCTGGGGGTCGCTGTTCTGCCTTTCCGGGCCGAGGGCGCGGGTCCGTGGGCCTGCCGGGAGCTCGGCTCAGCTCGTGCTCGGAACAGCCCGTCCACCACCGAGCTTTCATTCTATAAAACAGGCTCTTGAAATAGCTTCCCTCTGCAAAGTGCGACTGCGAGAAGCCAGGCAGGCTCCGCGTGCGGCCGGCGGCTCTGCGCGCGCAAGGAGAAGCAAGCCCTGGCGCCGGACACACCCTGAGGAGAGCACCGCCAGCAGCTGGGCCGCTGCCCGAGCCCGGGGCCTGTGCTGCCTGGCTGACCTCTGCCCCCGTCTGCCAGACACCCTGTGCGGGGCTTTCCTGAGGCTGCACGAACTGCAGCGCCTCAGCCAGGCGGGGGCCCCGGGGCTGCTGGCCACAGAGCAAGTCCTCGGCCTCATCCTGCCACTTGCGGCCTCGAGCCAGGCTGTGAAGAGCAGACACAGCACCTCTTTCCCAGTCCAGTATCGTAAAACATAGGGGCGCATTTAAAGTACAGAAAGGGGTGCTCCCTGGGGGTGCAGGGGTTAAAGACAGTGCTGTGAAGCAATCCACAGCCTCTGCAGCGCAAGTTCGATCCCCGGTCTAACAGGGAGCTGCCCACAGGGCGCAGCAGACCTCTCCCGTCTCCCCGCTGCTCCCCTCAGCAGTGTTTTTCAATCAGTCTGCCTGTTCTGCTCCCCACTCTGTCTCTGGGGAGTCCTCTCACCCCCCACACCTCTGGCCTGTGCCCCAGCTCTTGCACGCATAAATAAGTAAATCTTTAACAATAAATAAAGTATGAAAACGAAAACGTGTCCGAGACAGACCTCCACGCCAGGGGACGCCTCAGGCTCTCACGGGGGCCGAGGCTGACAGGGACAGGCTCCCGCTCCCTCCCGCCTGGCGGATTCCCCACCGCGCGCGCCTGAGGACCATGGGGGGAGGCCGGCCGGGGTCGCCACCAGGGGCGCTGCGGGGAGGACGGGCGGTAGGGAGCGGCCGGCACCGCGGCGGGCGCTGAACTGACCCCGGCCCTCGCGCGGGCAGCCCACGTCACCTAGGAACATGGAGTTGATGGTGAGGTCCCTGCGCTCCGCGTCCTTCTGCCAGTCGGTCGTGAACGCCACCTCCGCGTGCCTGCCGTCTGTGGCCACGTCGATGCGCAGCGTGGTGATTTCGAAGTTTTCCTCGTGCAGCTGCGGGACATACATGTTTCGGGAAATTATTTTTCAGTATCCAAAGCGGGGAGAAAGCCACAAGCGCGTCTCCGCTGAGGACGGAGCCCGGGGGCCCAATACGGGGTCTGCCTGCAGCGCACACCCGTCCGCAGTGGCCGCCCGGACCAACACGGGCCCGCCAGGCGCAGCTCGGAGATGGGGGGCCCTGAGGAGGGCGCCCTGGTGCCGCCATCTTGATCAGCTGACCCGGGACGTTTCCTCCCGAGCCTGCTGCGGCTCGGAGCCCCCTCCCCGCCAAGCAGAGGCTCCCGCAGAGGGCCGCGGGCAGCCCTGACCCCTGGGACTCTCCTGCCATCCGCGCACACCTGCGGCGGCCGCTTCAGGCCTTGCCCGGCACGGTCCTGCGCCAGCCCCGGCGACCGCAGCGGGCGGCAGAGCCAGAGCCAGGACAACCGTGACGGCAGCCGCGGGGCCGCAGGAGTTTGTTTTCTGACGCTCACGGCAGGGCTGCCGGCAAGTCCAGGCCAGGACGACACCAGCGCTCCCTCGTCTAACCAGAGGGAATCTTGTGGGGCCTCAGCAGACTCCGGAAACACCCACATCCCCCCCTTTCCTGACGGGACGCCCTGGGCAGACTCAGCCCACCCGCCAGGCGGGCAGCTGCCAGGAAGGGGGAGGCCGCGAGGGGCGCGTGATGGTAACACGGGGGCAGAGGAGGCGTCTGATCTTTTCCCTCGCTGCACGCTGGCTGTGGTTCTGGAAGGCTGCCAGTTACCATGTTGAAAACTTTCCTCGTCAACTCTGTTACCAGAGACTTAATGTTGGTGATTTCTGGGTTTCGCCACTGGCAGGAATTGGTTGTGGAGAAATTCACAGGAGACGGCCCTGCGCATGTCAAAACCTCCTGCGTGGATGTAGCCGAGACAGAGCTCTCTGCAGAGGACTGGAGGAACTCAATGTTTTGTTGTTTGAAATGTTTCTAGTTTGCTTTTCTAGTCAAGGAAACATTTTTTTCTTTCAACAGGCCTCATCTGCGGCAGGGAATTGCACTGTTGGACTAGAACTAAATTTTGTTTCCATTTTCTCTCTCCGAGGCCATCACGGGAAAGGGGTAGTGAGCACATGCTAAGGACTTGCGACAGCGTGTCTGCCTTTAGAGAACTGCAGTAAGATTTTGCTTCTCCTTAGACGGTGAGTTGAAAATGTGGTGGTTTCCTAAGCTGGGATTGTAAACTCACTGCTAAGACCTCCTGAAAAGTCGAGATGAGCAAAGCCGTGAAGAAAGGGGTCTGAGTCCTGCCCATAGGGCTCGAGAGGCCCCCCAGCTGCGCAGGGCGCTCCCTTCTGTCCGCAGGCCTGGAGACCCCAGAGAGGAGAGCTTGGGAGTGCTGAGAAATCGACCCCAAGCCAAAGGCACAGATGCTGCGGGTGTGGGCTCCTGAGGCCTGGACAGGCTGAATGTTGAGAGCTCGTCCTGACTCCCCTTGTGGAAAGTTGTGGCAAAATCAACCGAAATGGCGCTTGGGTATTCTGTCCTACGGGCTTATGCAAAAAACAATCAAACAGACTGGAATCAGATTTAGTTCACAAATGCATTTTGCTATGCTCTGGCAGAATTTAGATGAAGGCAGAGAAATTTTAGTAGTAGCCACTCTAAACCAAAAAGATTTTTCTCCTTTTTGGCTTGCACTGCTTAACTCTTCTAGAAATGGAAGTGTGCCGCACTGGCTCTGCATGCACGCGCCTTGTGACTGACAGCTACAGTCGGACTGCACTGAAACCCTGGTGGAACGCTCCGGAGAACACACCCCAGCATGCAGCTTTCATCACTGCAGAAATGGTGACAAAAATCAACAGAGAAGTATTTATAAAAGGAACAAAAAGGTGCTAACTCCAGGCCAGTGGGTGGTGCTTATAGCCAACCAGATTGGTAGAAGGTATTTTCCAGACTCCACCTGACTGAGGGGTTTAGGGGGGTGGGAGAGCGATGGGGAAAAAGGGGGAGAGCTGAGACATCCGGCCACACACTGCAGGGCTGGGCCTCCCTGGTGGCACAAGGGGTTAAGCACAGTACTGTGAGGCTATCGGCAGCCACTGCAGCACGAGTTCGATCCCCAGGCCAGGGAGCTGACCACAGGGCGCAGCAGACCCCTCCTGTCTCCCCGCTGCTCCCCTCAGCAGTGGATTTCAGTAGATGCACCTGTTCTGCTCCCCACTCTGTCTCTGGTGAGTCCTCTCACCCCCCACACCTCTGGCCTGTACCCCAGCTCTTGTATGCGTAAATAAATCTTAAAAATAACAAAACAAACAACCGCAGAGCTTTGGGGAGTTAAAACCATGGGGGTCTTGGCAGCTGAGCAGCTGGGGCAGTCAGACACTGGTGGGGTGTGCTTCTGGAGAAGCCAGCAGAGTGCAATGTGCAGATTCGGCTTGGAACCGGGTCTCTGCTCAGCACTCTCTGGGGTAAGACCAATGGCATCTGGCCACATTTCAGCCTATAAATTCTCTCTCCCCCATTTTTCACCCCCTGTGTAAGTAAGTCCCATTTCTGCTGTTTCACACCCTGTGTCTGCTTTTGAGGTGCATCCCGCAGTCTCAAGTGCAGAGGTGAGGACCCACCAACTGGTCAACCTGGCTCCCCTGAGGGGATCTGCTGTTTCACTTCCCTTACAAAAACCACAATAAAGCTACCAAGTCATTTTGCGAACATCAGAAGATTATTTGAATATGAAAACACCAAATGTTATCGATATTTTAAAAAAGCCAACAGGAAAAACAAAGAGCTCTGAGGAAATAAAAAACATTGCTGAAGTACCTGTCACTGCTACACTGAGGGAATGAGAAGATGCTGCATCTGAAACGGGAAGCTTTCAAAGGAATATTCTAAGACCCTAGAAAACTTAAGAGCAGAAGTTGCAAATATATAGAAAGATGAGACGACCAATCTCACAGAAAGTAAAAGACATGAGGGCCTCCCTGGTGGCGCAAGGGGTTAAGCACCACACTATGAAGAAACCTGCAGCCTCTGCAGCACCTGTTTGATTCCCGGCCAGCTAGGGAGCAACCCACATGGTGCGGCAGACCTCTCCTGTCTCCCTGCTGCTCCCCTCAGCAGTGGATTTCAGTGGATCCGCCTGTTCTGCTCCCCGCTCTGTCTCTGGTGAGTCCTCTCACCCCCCACACCTCTGACCTACACCCCAGCTCTTGTATGCATAAATAAATCTTAAAAAAAAAAAAAAAAAAAAGGCTCAGCCCCATGACCCAGCACGGCAGGAGCTTCCAAAGGCAAAGACCCCGACACGGGTTGAGGGCGAGGCCAGCAGCCTGCGGAGGCCACACCACCACGAGAGGAATTCCAACAGGTCACGTCATCTTGAAATTAAGAACACCAGAGCGCAAAGAAAGTCAGAAAAACTTCCAAAAGGCAAAAATGTCTCAAAGGAGACATGGGTGCAGGGGGTCTTGCTGCCCCAGCCGGATAAGACACTGGCAAGCAGCTAACAGAAGGGCCTCACGCCGTGTGGCTGAAGATTGCACATCCCTTTGTTTTGTTTTTTGTTTCTGGTCATAGTAAGAAAGAACTTCTCAGTAAATACAATGGGCGATAAATTATACGTCTAAGAATATGGTAAGTATGCGGCACGGAGAATGACTTGCTTAAAAATTAAACACGGAACAACTGGCCCACTTGACAACGGGAAATAACTACTGCGCACGGGCAGGCCTGATGGGCAGCCCAGAGCTGGCCGCAACTTTCCTCACATGGAAGTTCCGTAGAGAAGCCTCGTAATGAATCGGGAAGGTGACGGCGCTAGGCGTTTCCAGGTAGGAAAAAGGTCTGATAACGGATAACCGGGAGGCCACTGGTCCCCAGCCGCAGGCCACATGGACGGCGGAGTCTCCTGACATGGGAGCCCTGGCGGACAGGGATGTGCCAAGGACAGCTGGCGGCCCTAGGTAGCTGTTGAGGCTGAAGTAATGAGTAAGTTTTAATTCTCTATTAACTTGAAGGGTCAGCTCTCCTCTCAAAACACGTAGGCGCCAAATGTCCCCGGGAAAGGAATGTCCCCATTGCTTCTGTTTTGCTTCTATGCTTACAATGACGTCATCCCGCCGCTCGCCTCAATGTACAAAGACCGGCGGGACCCTCAGCAGGAGCTGCTTGCGCCAAAAGGAGTGTCTGTGTCTCCTCACTCCCCTTCCCCTCGGCCCTCAAGTGTGGTGTCATCCTTTCAGGGACACCCGACCTGACACTTGGCCGGAGCTGGTCTTCGGCACGTGGGGCTGAGCTCAGGCTCCCCTGGGCAGCCGCTAAGCCCCACGTTACCGGGTTAACGTGCGGAAACGACCCCGCCTGAAGGCCACAGCCAAGCACACTCCGCGCCTGCGGCGAGGGCCTGCGGGAGCACCGGCGACGCCATCTTGCACCGACACCCCTGCCGGCCTGTGACCGACTGTCCCTGCTAGGACGTGCCGTCTCCCTCGCCCACACGCGCCGGAGCCCACAGGCCACAACGAACCCGTCGGGAGCGAGAACCGACACACGCGCCGCGGCCCGGAACCCCAGCACCAGGCGCAGCACGCGCGCGCCTCTTCAGTCCACAGTGAGGCTGCGGGGGCCGCCCCGCCCAGGGCCCTGCGCACACCGGGGCGTGATGAGCGGACGCGCCTGTTTCCATCTTGGGACTCCAATGACCTTCTCGACTTGGGGACAGAATCCACCCGTAGCCACAGGGGGCCCTGCCTGCCGGAGCCCCCCCGGGGGACTCGGGGAACGAAGGTGTGACGAGGAGACCAAGAAGCCGCGGGCGGGGGGAGCAGGGAGACGGGCCGCGCCCGGGACGGGGCTCAGAGAAAGAGAACTGAAACCTGGGGGGTTTCGTCCGCCCAGTGGAACCCCCCAGCCTGGGACGAGTGGCGCCTGGAAAGTCGTTCAAGACACACAATTAACTGCAGGGACGCTCCTCGGGAGCCACCACAGCCCAGCGTGAGCCGCGGCCCCACGCTGCCCAGCGAAGCCGTGGTGGATGCTCAGGAGGACGCCAGACCGCGGCCCGGGAGGCGTCGGCAGGGACCGCCTCAGTGCTGGGAAATAAAAACCAAACCCACAGCCTACAAAGGCCTTTCCGAGCGCGGGGGGCAGGCGGCGGGGACGTTCCCACCAGGCCTGTCCTGTCTTCTCCCCAAGCGGCGCTCACGCCCCTCCCGAGGGCGGCCCCCTCACCCGCGCCGTGATGGTCCCGTGCTTCTCGCCCTTGTTGTTGATCAAGCGCACGCCCGCGGCCTGCAGCAGCGCCTTCATCTGCTCGGGGGTGGCCGTGGTGGCGAAGTCCACGTCCTGAGGCTTCACGCCGTTGAGCAGATCCCTCACGGCGCCTCCGGCTATTCTTAATTCATGCTTCTCCTTGACGAACAACTCTGGGAAGCGAAAGAATATTTCAGTGTTTCCTGTAAGCGGAGCAGAAGTTGGGGTTTCAGCCGGGAGGGACCGCAGGGGTGACATAAAGGCCTTTTCATGGGAAGCCACCCTGGGCAGTGACAACTGACAAGCAGGACACCCTCGCTGACGGAGAAGGGACCGCAGAGCCCCACGGCCCCTCACCATAGCACTCTGCGTCAGGACAAAAAAGGAGAGCTCACGATGGTCCTGCTCACCCCACCTCTGCCCCACTCACCGCTCCTGGTGCCCCGACTTGCCTGTGTCCACGCAGCCCCCACCCAACAGTGCCACCAGCTGAGCCACTCCCAGCCTCGGGCACACGAGCCACTTGGAGACTCACCCTTCACGGCCCCTCCGCATGGGGGTAGGCTGTAGGGGACACCAGTTTCCCCCAGCAATCCTTCCCCACCCACTGCAGTGCGTCCTTCCCTGTTCTAATGCCAGGGCGCCCCTGAATTCACCTGTGACCTTGACGGCAGGGGGTACCCAGCTTACCGTTCCTAAGGGGGTCATGCCTGCTGAGTGACCCTCTCCCAGGCCTCGGGAGCAGTGGCCTTTCTGCGTGCTGATCACATTGAAATAGCCTGATCACATCTGTCTCCCCACTTCTTGGGGTAAAAACCTGCCTCGCTCCTCTTTACCCACATGCTCACGGCAGCCGCACTGGGACGGCCTGGCTCTAGAGAAACACAGACACGCAGCACTTCACCAGAAAGCACGTATTTTAAAAGGTTTTTCTTCCTTTAAATTACAGTCACAGGGCCTCCCTGGTGGCCCTAGGGGTTAAGACGCAACCTATGAAGCGGTCCGCAACCTCTGCAGCACGAGTTCCAGCCCCGACCAGGGAGCTACCCACATGGCACAGCAGACCTCTCCTGTTTCGCCCGCTGCTCCCCTCAGCAGCGTATTTCGTCAGTCTGCCTGTTCTGCTCCCCACCCTGTCTCTGGTGACTCCTCTCACCCTCCCATGCATCTGGCCTGTACCCCAGCTCCTGTATACATAAATAAATCTTTAAGAAAAGTTAAAAAATAAATTACAGTCACACCTTCAAGGCACTCTGGACAGGAAGCAGTCACGTGTCACGTCCATCTAAAGCTACTTTAATATAAAGCTGTCCAGGCTGAACACGCCCAAAACTTTTAAATTTCATGCAATTCTAAGTGTGTGTGGCTAAAAATGTGACGTCCAGGCACCCAATAAACTCCTTAAAGAAAAAGAGATCACAACTCTGTAATCTTCATCATTTTGATTGTTAATTAAACCACCTCCAAAACACTCACACTAAGTATTTCTTTTCATATTTTAAAACGTCAGGTTTATTAGGAAAAGGTGAAAGAAAAAGTGGCACCTGTGTCGCCACAGGCGGCCTGGGCTGGGGATGGGGGGGAGGGGGTCTGCAGTCACTGTTTTGCAAAGGGCAAAGGTTTGTGAAGAGAAACACCTGCACAGCCACAGGCCACACTTCAGGATTTTAAAAAAGTAACACTTTGGTACAACCGAGCAAGGGAGGGCGGTGCAATGGAACCGCAGTCAGGGGGTGTGACAAAGGTGCTTACACACCGACCTGAAACAGCAGGGACCCTCCAGCCTTTCCCCTCCAGGCCCTTTGTCCTTCAGTACCCACACGTCAGTCTCACAGAAGCAGGTTCCACTCGCATGCCTGAATGCGTCTGAAAACCTTCACAACTGCCTGGCTTCTAAATTCTTTTAATTTTCAACCGAACTTTCAGATGTCCCGTGGGCACAGGCAACCTGAAAGACCAGCGGGGAATGCTCGGCCGGTAGCCAACTGAGCCCAGGTCGGGGTGATCAGCCCGAGTGTCATAGCAGTGATAGTGTGAGCAGCAGAGCCACACCTCCCCATCCCTCGGGAAGTGAAGATTTCTGAGGCTGGAGAGAAATCCTCTGTGAACCTCAAACCCTGCCCTGGGAAGCGCGGCCCTGGAGAGCGGGCTCCGGGCAGGGGCTGGGGCTGCCACAGCTGCAGAGAGGGCAGCAACACAGGCTTCCCGCCCGGACCGGCCGACCCCAGGGCCGCCACCTTAGCTTTCAGACTCCCACTTCCCAGCAAGCCTCACTCCCAGGGCCTCGCTAAACCAGAAGGGCCCCAACATTAAAGCCAGAGCACCACCTACTGGTGAAAGGAAGACAAGGCCCCGCAGCGGAAAGGCCAACCCCGGGAACAGACGGGAGACGCTAAACCGCGCGCGGAGGCGTGGATGGCCACGGGACACAGCTGCGCTGGGTGAGTAAAGTTACCCCTGCATCCTCGCTCACCTGCCAGGCTCTTCAGCCCTTCCGTGAAGAGAGACTGGAACTCCGGGGTCTGCAGCTTCATGGTGAACAGGCGCTGCCTCAGGACCCTCAGCCCACCGCGCGGACAGCCCAGCCCCGGCCTGCGCCCGCGAGCCAGGCACCTCAGCATCGGGGCGCCAGCCGCCCCGCCCTGCAAGGCAAGCGCAGGCGCAACGCTGGCGCGGAAAGGCCGGCAGAACCGGGGGGACAAGAGCGGACGGCGCGCGGCCGGCTCCTGGCCCCGGCCAGGCGGGCTCCGCCCCGAGCCCCCCGCCACCGGGACCGGGACCCGCGCCGCCCCGAGCCCCCCGCCACCGGGGCTGCGCGCGCGGGGCGACCCCAGGGCGCGGCGCCCCCGGACACCTGGGCGGGAGGCCCGCGGCCTCCACAGCGGGGCCTCGGGCCGCTTCTTCCCCGCGCGCCCCGAAGCCCGGGCCGGCCCTGAAGCCGCGAGGGGGAGGCGGAGCCGGGGGCACCCAGGCCCGGCCCCCGCGCGAGGGACCCCAACGCCCCGCGCCCGCTCACCCGTCGCCGCCGCCGCGCACTTCCGGACGGCGCCGCCGTGACGTCAATCACGCGCGTCGCTCGGGGGCTACAGGGACGCCGCGCGGGAGGGAGCGGGGCTGCGAGCGGGGCGGGGCCCCTGAGTGGCGGGCGGGGCCTGGTTGGGGGCGGGGATTCTGCGAGGTGGGCGGGGCAGGACGGGGCCTCTGAGCGGTGGGCGGGGCCGCGCGTGGGGCGGAGCCGATACTGAGAGCGGGGGCGGGGCGTCTGCGCGGTGGGCGGGGCCCGGGGCCGCGGTGCGGGGTCCGCGCGCTCCCGGCTCCGCCCCCCGCCGCCCGCCGCCCCCGTGTGGCCCCGCGGCCGGGACGAGCCCCGCGCCGGAGGGCGCCCCGCGGGCGGGCACAGGGCCGAGGCGGCGCGCGGGGCGCAGGCCGACCCCAGAAGCCCCGCGGAGGAGAGAGCCGCCGCTCCCCGCCCCGTCGCCGCGTCCCGCGCGCCCGCCGCGCGCCCCAGCCCCCCCAGACGAGCCGCCGCCGCCCACGCCGCCCCGGGCCCGGCGCCCCCCAGGCCCCGCCCAGGACAGGACCCCGCGGCGCCCCGACCCCTCGCGAGCGCGGCAGCCACGGCGCAGCTCCCCGGCCCGGGGCGGAGTGCGAAGGTGGACGGCAAACCGAGTCCATGGTCAGCCTCCCGCAGAACGCCGGGCCGGCCGCGCGGGAGACAGAACCTGACCGCGCACCGTGCTCAGAAAGTGGAAGCGGGAGCAGCCGCCTCGCACTTGCAGCTGTCTAACCCGACAACAAAGCTGAGACAGACAGCACCCCCAAAAAGAATTTAAAGAGCAGAATCCGCAAGAATACAGAAACAATATTTTCTGCAAAATGCTGGCAAATTTAGTAAAGCAGGACAGATTAACCAAGTTTTGTCTTGACTCCAGAAATGCAAACTGGATTTAACATTTGAAAAACAATCTATGTCATTTACTGTATTAACAGGCAAAAAAAAGGATCATCCCAAAAGATGTAGAAAAAGCACTTAAAATTCAACACCCATTCATGGTTTTAAACTCTCAGAACACTAAGAAGATTTTCCTCAGTCAGGTAAAGCACATCTAGAAAAAATGCACAGGGCCTCCCTGGGGGCGCAAGGGGTTAAGATGCAACCTATGAAGCTAACCTCAGCCACTGCACACGAGTTCCATCCCCAGCCAGGGAGCTCCCCACAGGGCGCAGCAGACCTCTCCTGTCTCCCCGCTGCTCCCCGCAGCAGTGGATTTCAGTCCGTCTGCCTGTTCTGCTCCCCACTCTGTGTCGGGTGAATCCTCTCACCCCCTGCATCTCTGGCCTGTACCCAGCTCTTGTATGCATAAATAAATAAATCTTTTTTATATATATATTTTAAATTTATTGTCCTCATTACCCCTCCTGAATTTCTCTGCCCTTCTCTCAGAAACCTTTTTATTTATTTATTTTTTAATTTTTGTTTAAAGATTTATTTATACAAGCACTGGGTACAGTCAGAAGCGCAAGAGGGTGAGAGAATTCACCAGAGCCAGAGGGGAGAGCAGAGCAGGCAGACTGACTGACGAAGTGGGGAGCATGGGCGGCAGGAGAGGTCTGTGAGCCATGTGGGACCCTCGCCGGTGGCCGGGGATGGAACCGGCGCTGCAGAGGCTGCGGGCAGCCTCGCAGCCCAGCGCTCAACCACTGCGCCAACCGGGGGAGGCCCAATAAATCTTTTTTTTTTTTAAAAAGTACAGCCAATAGCCAACTTAATGGAAAATACCGAATGCTAAAACAACCCCTATAGTCAGTAACAAAGCAATAATTGTATATTGTTGTAAAGCTAGATGGTCATACATGCATATATACATTCATGTACACATGTGGTGTAGAAAGGCTTCTAAGGAATGCTTATTGAAATGAATTCAAATTTGAAAGCATTTGCATATGAAGTTATGATGAAGAATATTGAAGCTGCTGACTAAAGAGAAAATAACTAGACAAAATTCCCCTCACACCTCTCCCACATTGGGGAGGACAACCAAATCCACCCACAAGTGCGTCTACTCCAACAAGAGGCTCACTGTTGCCTCTCTGTGCACACCCTCCCTAAGGGAAATGAAACTTTACCTGCAATGGAACTAACATTTACTACCAGAAATGCCCCAGAAGCATTCCCTTTGCATGGAGCATACCCCAAATACACCCACGAACACACCACATTGCTGGGACCCAGCAGGTTTATCTCATACTACAGAAACACCACAGGTTTGCCTCACTATGGAAACACCACAGGTTTACCTCATACTATGGAAAACACCACAGGTTTATCAGACTATGGAAACACCACAGGTTTACCTCATGCTATGAAAACACCACAGCCATGAGTAGCTTCTACAGTTAGAAGGTAGCATAGTGTTCAAAAGTCAAGAAAGTTAGATAAAAACAGCATAGGAACATGCATTAATAGTTGTAATAGGGCCTCCCCGGTAGTGCAAGGGGTTAAGATGCAAACTATGAAGCTGTTCGCAGCCACTGCAGCACGCATTCGATCCCCGGACAGGGAGCTACCCACATGGCGCAGCAGACCTCTCCTGACTCCCCGCTGCTCCCCTCAGCAGTGTACTTCAGTCTGCCTGTTCTGCTCCCCACTCTGTCTCTGGTGAGTCCTCTCACCCCCCACACCTCTGGCCTGTGCCCCAGTTCTTGTATGCATAAATAAAATCTTTAAAAAATTAGTTATAATATATTCCAACTTCAGGTTTTAGCAGGTGTCAATGCTGATTTAAAAATCCAGTGATGCTGGAGGAGCCTCCCTCGGGAGGGGATACGTCTCCCCTCATAACTGCCAGATCTCTGATTGCAGTTTATATAGTTAGTGGCCAAAAAGCGACACTCAACTTTCCCCTCGACCCTCATTCATTGAAGTTTGAGGCGTCTTCTTTTGAAACGAGGTCGTGTCTGCAAACCAGAGGAAGATGCAAGGGCGTGTGGCTTGCACCCGCCCATCTACAATGTCTCTCCGTCTGCTGAGTGCCCTGGCACGTCTCACTAACCCGCCTACTGTGCTTTGAACAAGGCCCGCTGTTGTGCTAACTCACAAATCCGCACAAACACCCAGGAGGAAACTGAGGCAGGGAAGGTCCCTTTGTCCAGGGTCACCCAGGCAATAAGAGGCACAAGAATGCAAACCCAGACATTCTGGCCCAGGAGGGAGCAGGCCCTGCGGGCTGGCGCCAGGACGCCACCAGCAAAGGTTTCCCGCAGGGATTCCCACGTTCCCAGGGTCAGTGTGGCTGCAGCGAGGGAAGAAGGCAGGAGGGTCTGGGCCACCCACCTACTGCCTTGCAGCTGGTGGAGGTGGGAAGGGGCCTGGCTCCCTGCTGCAGGCACTGGGCGAGCCTGGCTCTGCCTCTTCCCGCTTCTGGAGCGCCCCTGCTGCTCCTCCTCTCGGCTCTGACTGTCCTGTCTGCGGCCTCCCTTTGGGAAAACACTCCTTGGGTGTCTGTGTGTTTCTGTGAGCGAACACAACATCCGATGCTGTTCTAGGCATAACCCGCACCCTTGGGTGACCTTGCCATCGGCTAACAGGCCACGGGCACCAGGAGGACACTCAAGACCCTGGCCCCACGTCACCAGGGTAACCTCGCCATGGAAAGATGCTCGCCCTCACCCCACCCTCCAGCAGGGGGCTAGGGTCCTGCGTCGAGGGGAGACATGGCGAGGCCAGTGTTCATCTCCCACAGCCTCCACGTTGTGCTGCACAACAGGGGCCCCCAGATCATCGTGGGACAGAACAGCTGGGCCGGCAGCCTGGGGCATGAACCCTCATGCGGAGCAGGCACCCTGCCCCGCCCCCCCTTGGGGGGCAGGTGGTTCCACGTCAAGTAAAAACACATGGCAGGACAGAGTAGCCCCTTTTATGAGCCCCCGGCCCTCAGTACCAGCATCTGCCAGCGCCCCCTGCCGGCTCCCCACCTCACTGCTCCAGGGGCCTCGCGTTCAGGGAGTCAGAGGGGAAGGAAGCTTCACAGAAAGGGGGCATCTTCACTGGCGGCATTTGAAGGCTGTGGGGAAGAGAGGTGCGATATTTAGGCCCATCAGATAAAAACATCATTAGGGCCTAATTTTAATATTTGTCCTTTCCCGAGGGGCCACGTTTCCTTACAGAGGAACAAAAGCGGGCCGAGTGCTGTCGTCACGGGACGAGGCCTGCTTCAAGGATGTCTCTTTCTCTGAAGCAACAAAGAGTACCTATTCGAAGAAAAGTCATTGGCCCGTTTCGTTCTCATAAAAGTTTAATAGAAGCCAACTAAAGTTTAAGATCTCCCAGAGGACAAATAAAGATATTTCTCAGCAAATGTAGAATCACAATTTTCAGTGGTGTTAGGGGATTTTACACACAAATGCAATTTTATTTTACATTTAAAAGAGCTAAGTAAATAGACAAATCAATTTTAGCTACTCTGGAATTTCATACCGGGTCATTAATTTTAAAAGACGGGGCTTCAATAATAGTGAAAAGAACGAAGGCCCAAGGGTGAAGAGTGAGAACCATCACCTTCAAAAGGGTCAGAGCCTCGGATCAGAACCAAGAGGAGGACAAGGCCGCTGCCTGCGAAAGCCCC